CATCCTTTTTTCAGTAACACTTTTGCCGTGACAGTCATACAGTCATACAGCCTCCCTCTTATAATCATTTTGTACTAAGAACAACACCCTGAGGCCCTCAGCCAACCAGCCTAACTTTGAAGTGAGCCCTACTTTGAGCAGGAGGTTGGGCTAGATGACCTCCAGAAATGCCTTCTAAGCTAAATTATTCTGTGGCTTAGACTGTAACCTCTTGGGAGAGAAGGCTTTGTCTTACGCAGGGTTCAGTTATTTTTAGAAGGAACGCATATGAGAACCAAGTACTCACAGCAATAATAAGCACATACGCTATATAAATACACTATGCATACATTTGAAGTGATCTCCACTTTATGCAGCAATTAGCCACTTCCACGAGAAGAAAAAAAAAAAGAGTAGATATTCTCCAGGAGGCATCCTGGGACTTCTGAGTGCTAGCTCTTGCTGTAGAAAAGTCTTAGTCCTTACTATATGGGAGAAAACCAAAATTAGCAGCCTCATAAAATCCAACCCAAAAATCTATCAAAGCCTTACCCATACCACAAAAAGCTACATGCTACTTTAAAAAATAATTATATTATTATTTTGCTTAGGTGCACGGGTAAGCAGCAGCAAAGTAGTTTAGGAATCTATTTGTTTGTGGAACCAAGATTATGGGTGGGGTTGAGTAATCACTTAGCAGAACTGTGATTTCAGCTTAGTCCTTGACGTTCTTTCATTAGTTTTTTAGACTTGAACCACAAAGCCAAATCATTCACACCTTTGTTTGAAGAGACTTTCCTCATCCATCCCCAGAAGATCACCTCATGCACTCATTTCCTCAGCCTCCGCCCCCCACCAGGCTGCTCACTGTAGCAGGTGAGTGATGCTAATATTTAAAAGATTCAGAGACACACTTCTGACTATTCCTCTGTTCTTACAGCCACCTCCAGCTACTCACTCACAGTGACAAGGCTACAAAATACGAACACATAAACCTTAAAAATACCGTCCCTTTCTATTGTTCTATTCCCACAACCTACTGCAAGCTGGCAGAGAAAAATCTCAGCTTGCAGATGATCCAGGCAGGTGCTGGGGAAAGACCTAACACTGGTAGAAAGAAGAAAGAACGGGGAGAAGTAAAATAGCCATTGAAGAGTCAAGAAAGAAAGAGAGAAGAATAAAGTGAGCGGAAGATTACAAAAATAGTGGAATGTGAAAGGAAGATAAACTAAAGATAGAGGATGAGTTGTTAGTGGAGGATGGAAAATTTAATACAGAAGGATAGAAAATTATAACAGAGGAAATAAGAGTGGGAGGAAACAGTCATGAGATGTAAAGGAGCAAATACAACTGTAAAAGGGTAAGGGGGAAAAAAAAAATCAAAACCACATTTGTGCCCGTTTTTCATCCTAAAATGGGAGATTAAAGATTTACATAGGGAATACATCGGAATCAGTTTTGAATACTGCATGAAAAATACCAGAAACAAAACCAAAGCTAGCAACGCATCATATTTACAGCACCAGAGCTCAAGCGACTCAAGTAGTACTGAATCAAATATTTTCTAAAATGATTCAATGGAGCCAGGCACAAGAGATTCCTGATTCTTGGAAACTGTGGTTTATACCTGGATTTGCCAGAAGCTGCAGATCCCATAGAAAAATATGAGGATGCTAATGATCTGGAGGAAAGGATCTATTATGGTTTTGAAAACTTGTCTCCAGTTATGCCCATTCATTTGTCATTACCACATTTTCCCTATATACAAATATTTCCATAGTTAACATGTCAATTACTGAACTGCAGTAATTTGTAATTACTAATCACATATGCGTCCAGCTTAGAAACGGAAATATCCCCAAGTCTCAGAACTTGCAGTAGTCCACTGAGAAGACATGAAATCTTACTTTTTTGAAGAAACTAGCAGAAGTACACCTAGACAGTCTATTCATTTCCTTAAACCTACAAAAAAGGAACATCAGGTATAAGCACCAAACAACTATTCTGTTTAAATAACAAGCTGAAAAAACTACGTGGATATGGATGGCAGTTTTACACCCATCAGCCCTGCTATGCTGTTCTCAATTGCACTTTAAGTAGCTTTTTTTTATTTCTAAGGACAATGAAATGGAAGAGTAACGTGAAGTAAAATCCATTGTGAACCATCATTTAGAAGCGGAATCAAAGCATTGCTAGCCAGGTCCTTCTGGGTGCCAAATGAACGTTGTCTTTGTTCCGTTACTAGGATTTATATTTCAGAATAAAGAGGAAATAGTTACTTGGATGTGCTCCGGGGCTAAACAGAGATTCTGCTTTTATGCCTGTTTTACTGCTCAGTCACTATATCCATTGAAAATATCTGATGGAGTGATGGTGGTGGGGGGGGGGGGGGGGGAGGAAGTAGGTGGAGTTCATATCTTTCCTCCACTTGGTCTAAGATGAGGCCTGAAACTTTTTTGTTTTTTTTTTCTTTTTAAATAAAAATGGAACAGGAAAGAAAAGGAGCTGTTGTTCAGACATGATCAAAAGCAGGAGAGATACATCATTGTTCAAAGGGAGTCTTGCCATAGTCTCCGCTTCAGATGGGGCAAATGTTCCCAGGAGTGCTCGCGGCTCTCTCCCTTCTTTCCAGATAAGGTCACCCATACCAAGCATCTGCTCAGCAACTACAAACCTCACCCAAAATACCATCACTAAAATCAGTATGGTAACGTGGCCTCTGTGCTCCCCATCAGTTCAGTGCAAAAAGGAAGGACATCAAGAAAACCCTCATATCCTGCTGCTGTTTTGTTTTGTTTTTGTTAACAGCAGCAAACTGCTGCCTGAGACAGTGCACGTTCTGCAGTCTCAGCTTTCAGTCTGAAAAGGCACAGAAACCAACGATACAGCAAGGAACAACCGTAGGCTGGAAACAACTTGTCCAAGTGCAAGTAGTTGATGGTGGTGATGAGCGGGTCTCTTGCCGTTGCAAGTTGGGAAGACAAACACACATTCTTGCAACAGGAGGGCTTCACATGTTCTTTCCTTCAGCATCACTTTCTTTCCCAATTGCAAGGTTATTTGCTCAGATGCCAGTTTTAATAGTATGCAAGATTTCCAGAATGCATCTTTCAGCCAAGAGCACAACACAGATTTTTATATTAGCTTACTGGTAATAAAAAAGTAATGTATTTCTGGCTATTTAGATAGTGACGTGGCTAAAACAGACTCCTTTGTTTCAGGCAGCTGTTAACAATACCTGTAGGGAACTGTTCCCAAGGCAGTTATCTCTGGCACTGGCGGCAGTAGGATGTAAACAGCATGTATCCAATTAATGGAAAACATTGAGCAGCCAAATCTGAAAGGAAGTGTGTTTAGCTGGGCCTCTTTCACAGGGATTAGATTCTCACATGCAGCAACAGAAATGATTTTCAGCGGGCAGGTCTTCCTGGGTGTGGACAGCTCCGCCACTGCTGCAGTGCTGCCGAAGCAGCGCAGCCCTGTCGGCGCAGCAGGGCTGGAGGCAGCGAGCCCCGTGGAGAGCAGGCAACAGCAGAGTCGCAGTGCGGGAGCCCAGGGTCAGCACCGAGCTAACGTGCTGTTCAGGTTTCCAGCCCCGAGCTGGCTTGTGTCTGATTAGGTCAGAACAAATGTGTGACTGTCTGCATCCATCCGCACAGACATACCCTAAGATTAGAAAGATACCGATGGGTTATTTTAAATGACATAGTCCGGACTTGTACACCATGGGAGGTGTGATGGGAACTCTTTCTGTCTTTCCTGATAATTTAATGAGCTGCTGTAACGAGGGATGCACTAAGCCCCTGATTTGTATGCAGTTCCCACATGAAACGTGAATATTAAATTCCTCTATGGGTGAATCAGCACCTCTCTCTTACTCCCACAGCTCTTTCCCCTATGTCTCAATCTCTACCTGCTCCACAGCTCCAGATCCCTTCATGGTCCCCAGGGCTCCCTCACTTCACTGTCGCCTCATCCCACCTCCTCATGCCTCAAGAGCCAAAGTAGACAGATTCAGCTCTGATCATGATCAGGAGCATCAACCATTTGGAAAAACAAAGCTGGGAAAAGGTCTCATTTCTTCAAAACTGACTGCAATTCAGCCAGCTCCGTGGCCTGTTAGCATTTGGGAAAATTTCATGACATGTGAAATTAAACCTACGGGGCATTGCTGTCTCTGACAGCTGGTAGTTTAAATAATGAATTGGTAATTATAAACCTTTTGAAATAAAAATGAAGTCTAAAAAAACAAACTTTTCGGACACACCTTTTGATGGCAAAGGGCTTTCCCACGTAGATTCCGTCAACAGCCATCACTCAGCACTGGCAGACAGCAGGTGCTTGCCACCCCGTCCAGGGAGAGAAGCACTCACCAAACAAGAAAAGTCAGGGCCTAAACAAGTTTGCAAATAGCAGCAATTCCAGTCCAAAAATCATTTCCATAGCAGAGGGGAGGAAATGCTCCCTGAGGACAAGGAGGCTGTCTGGGTTTTGGGTTTTCTGCTGCATAGATGTTCTTTTTCATACAGTTTAAAAAAAAAATACAATGGGATGAAATACAAAAATCCAGATTTGCACTATAAGAGTCATCACTTGCTCCTGCAAAACAGGCGATTCTTTTTTTCCAAAGCCCTGGGAGTTATAAACCAGGATTTCTAAATAAGGTGTGCTAAGCTAAAAGGCATGAAGATAGTGACAGATCCAGACTTGTTAGTGCCATGAACGTTTGTTTTGGCCATAACATACAACACGTACAGAAAGTGCTGCATCTACCATCTAATGTCTTTCACATTAGACCCAAACCTGTGCAGGATGTCCTGCCTCAGGAACGTTCAGAGGCTGAAGTTAAATAGCATGTCTTAGTATAAGACCAAACCTAGCATTTTAACTGCCAAAATTACTGCTGCAAAGACTTTCCTTTTGGGGCTTTCCCATAGTCACCTACATCCAGACTCCAGCTGCTCAAGATCTCCAGGACCAAAGCCAAAACTACAACAGGAAAGAGAAGTATAAACCTCATACCCAGTAAATGGGAAGTTTATTAAACTACCAAGTTACTCCGAAATGTATAAATGTTCTATTAAATACATTCAGTTTTCTTTTACACAGATTTATAGAAATTTATTTACATATTCCAAACACATTTAAATTATTTTTCAAGCTTGCTACCAATAAAAGCTTTTTTTTTTTTTTAAAAAAAGGAAAAAAGTCAATCACCTGCTCTTGCAGATGCGCATACACACAGATACAAATAGGGAGAAGGGAAATGCTTTTGTATTTAATCCACAAGGGAGGCAGTATCCAAAAGCTTGTAAGATTTAAAGCAAAAGTTCACCCTTGCCTCGCAGTGGGCCATATAAATTCTCCCTGTGAGACAGACTCAAATAAGAGGCCCTGTGTAATACTTTATGGTGTTTGGGTATGATGCCTGCATCAACATTTGCTGGTACATAGGAAGAGCTAAGGGCTCATTGCCAAATTCGAGACACAAAGCTGGCTGTCCCTTATACTAGCCCATGAGAAGCATGTGAGCAATTAAGTGGCTCATTCTCATTGAATTACACACTCCTAGCACTGAGGGATAGAGCAGACAAGCAGATCTGTTACTAGTAAGTCAATACCACTTGTCCAAATAGATTTTCCTTTCATTTTTTATTTTATTCTTAAATGAGGCTTCACTCATAAGTGAATAAAAAGGCAACTCTTTAATTCAGATGTTTAGGAGAACAGTGATCAGTTCCCCCCGCCTACATACATTTCTCTTGAGAAGGTGCATAGCATGCTGAACAAGTTTTCCCTCATTCCCTGTACCTTAGTCTGACAGGATGTTAAAATTTGTATCTGCAGGAAAAAGGTGTTTTTATTTTGTAAAATGCTTATCAAATACTAGTTTAATTCATCCTTCAGAATCTTTAAACATTAAAAACCACATTTGAAGCAACCAAGGAAGTCCACAAAAACATTGCCATGCGTAAACTATGTGTTTCATGCTAAATATTTGTGTTGACAAGGAGAGGAGGAGGAGGCAGGGAAACCGATGGCTTGCTCAGAGCCATTGCAACATTCAAGTAAACTGGTAGTAGATAAACCAGTGGAAACATGGAATGGTAATAAAAGTGCTCTGCACTACATTGCAGCCTTCAAGAGTTGAACTGCACACATCCTTGATATGTATCATAAATATATGGCACTTCTGTATGATGAAAAGCTGATAAGTTTGCTTGCGACTGAAACAGTCAGATTAGGAGTAGTCATCATCCCAATGGCAACCGCAGCCCTTCCAACAGGCAGAGCCTCCAGCCGTGCTACTCGATGCAGCACCACTCATAACTATTTGTGCATGCAAGACAATGCTGCCACATTCCTGGAAAATAAACTTCCTGCCCAGCAGAAAATTTTATCCAGACACACATACATTCATAAAACATGCTATAAATTCTTCAGTAAGATTAAAGACAGCCACAAACAGCAAATGTCCCATTTCGCTATTTTTTGGCCAGCAGTTCCCAGTCTGTCCAATTGCCAGCAATGGACTTTGCAACAGGCAAAAAGAGGTCCTGAATCCGAGGAATTAAGAGCAACAAAAAGCACAATCACCTAAGTTCATTTTTGATACTGTTCCACAGGATTCACTTTGACATCAAGTAAGGGACCAACCAGTACAAACGCTTGAGTCTTAGAAAAGGAAGAATTGTATATGCACAAAAACTGGCCTTAACCCACGTTTTCTGCCACAAAGCATTTCATCTTGTAGTTTAGCTTCCTTATAAGTTTTTGGCTTTTGGTGACCTACTACATCACAAATGCGCAAAGATGTGTTGCTACATTTGTATTCCATCACAGTAGCTTCAAATACATTCAAATTTATACAAAAGGATTTAGACCAGAACACTATTGGTTGCCCTTTTCCAATGGTGTGCGGTTCTTTGATGAGTACATGATGATGTGTATCAGCAATATTACTGTTTTACGGTATTTCATGACACAGGCATCCAGTGCTTAAACAAGTGTTCACATTCCAAGACAAAAAAACAAACAAAAAAACCCTCTTCCAAACTCTTATTTCAGTAATGGCTTCAGTATTTTACCTATTGTGGTCCGGTTTGCATCTTTGAGTTTAAGAGAAGACTTCTCCACTGTACCCTGTTCCTTTGACGCAGGCTCCACTTTAGTGCTGACAGCATCTCCTTGAAGGATGCCTCTTCCAACAACCCTGGCACTACTTGCTCTCTTTAGAGTACTCCCACTGTTTTCCTTTGGATTCGAATCATCCAAAGTCACTGCTGCCTTTGTTTTCGGCAGCCTCTGGGACACAGACCTTGTGATGGGTGGAGGTTTGGACGAGCTGGATAGATCCACTTTTGCACGCTTTGAAGAAGAAGCCACTGTGTTCCTTGCGAAGTTTGGGACAGAGGATGGGGCCTTGGGAGCAATGACTGTGGCAACCTTGGTGTCATCTGTAGGGGTCTGGGGTTTTACAGTGGAGCGACATATCTTTGTTTCATCTGTCTTTGATTTGACGGTACTCCTGACAGGTTTAGAGCTTGGCTTCCTGAGAGACACTCTGTCCCTCTCAAAATGGGCACTGCTTGAGGTGAAAGTTCCCCTTTGCAACTTTGGCTCTTCTACTGACATGCTATGCCTGTAAGGACTTCTCGGCAGTGTGTCTGTCGTGCCTCGGACAGAGCTGCGCCGCGAGAGTCGAGTTTCCACAGAACTAGTTTCACGAAGTGCCGGCTTGGCTTCCGGCTTTTTCACACTGCTTGGTGCTTTGTTTGACCGGGAAATAGGTACCACTTTCCTCATACTTTCATTCTCAGAGGCATTCAATGTTCTTATGGGTCTAGAAGGAGCTGCGTGGCTAGGGCGAGCGCCACTGGATTTTGAGGAACTTGGAGATCTATCTTTTAGAGAGTTTCTCTTTGGTCCTACTGCATCTTTGCTTTTTAAGGGCTTTTCTTTAGAGAGGGCGTGCTTGCTATTGGCATCATCCTTATCATTTGCAGAAGCGTGAAGTGACAGATCCTTCACAGAAGCAGAATTCAGGTTTGAGAAGAGTGTTCTAGCCCCGTACTGATCATCATTCATAGAAGAGTGTGCTTTGCCAGACTTGTTCTTTATTTCCTTGCCTGCTGATTTAAAATCATTTCCTTCTGAAGAGTCCAATGTCAAAGAACAGTCAGTGGTAGTATCTGACACATAGAACATCGGCCCATCTTCTCTACTTCCAGAAACACTTGTATCCATAGACACAAGACTGCTGCTGCCAGGCTCTGAAGTTTCACTCTTGTAACTCACTGCCTTGGCTTTATGGTCACGAGCCTCTTTGGAACTTCTGCAAGCTGGAGGCAGGTCGTCATCAGCTGTGCTGAGGGAATGCAAGCTTAGATCATCTAGGGTCTCCAAGTCTGTTCCACCAGCATCCTCTAAATAAATTAAAGGTGTGTCTTCTGCAGGCTTTGTGCCTTGAATATTGAACTTACGTAATCCTTTAACGAGTTCATGCTCCTCAATTGCAAGGGCCAGAGCATTTATATCTGGGGACTCCTCGCAAGACACACTGGAAGCCCGCACGCTGTAGTCAGTGCTCCTCTGTGAATAACGGGCACCAGGACCAGTCGAGCCACCAAAGTGACTGGACTGAGCTGGAGGCAACTGCAGTAGGTCACCACTTTTCAGTTTGGTTTCAGACTGTTGGTGTAAGTGCAAGGTATTTAAATTGAGATCTCTACTATCTTTGGATTCAGTCCAAGCTACATTGGGTCTTGCTTGTCGGGTGTTTGCACGGGGAAGGCTGTTAAACTTGTTTGGATCCTCATCCTTTGAGATCTCCAGGAAACTCTGCAGTTCCCTGTCTGCAGTAATGCCTAGAGAAAGTCGAGATCGTCTGGAATTGGGGTTTCTGTAGGAAGGACTTTGAGGTCTCTGCTGCAAGAAGGGAAGAAATTCTTCAAGTCCTTTTTTGGCCAACATCTCTACATCATTTTCACTGCTGCTTCGCCCAAAGCTCCCAAGCTCTCCAGCTGCCCAGGACCGACGCTTCTCCTCCAGCTCCTTTCGCCTCTGCAGATGATGAAGTTCCTGGATCTCTCGTTCCCTATTTTCCTGATGAGGAAAAGTGTAAATATATGTCATATATATGAAAACAAGCTACATAAATCTTTCCTATTTTTTTCCTACCAATGTTAGTTCCCTCCCCACAATATAAAAAAAAACTACACACACACACATACAATCACCATGGCAACTACACATTCTGCAACCACTGACCATATGGAAAACAGTTCCCTGCATAACAGCAGGGACATAAGTCTGGTCAGCATAAGCAACACTGAAAAATATGCCCAAGTCGTTGCAGAGACCAAGGACATGACCTATCAAACACAACTAGATTTCAAGGCCACTCAAAGAGTTCCTGCAATAAGATGGAGAGTTTCAAGTCACCCCCCAATAAGTTTAAAACGAGCAGTTTTATCTGGTGATCAAAATTCTACTGAGTATTACGTTCATCCTTTCAGACAAACCTGCCTGATGAGCATACAGCCAATGTGATCATTCCATTCTCCATTATTGCAATAATTACAATTGTTCCTCAGCAACTTGAGGTTCTACACGGAGATATTTACCTCCAACTCAAGCATAATATATTGGAAATTTTAAGAAAAGACATTACTTCATTGGATATGAAAGCAAAAAAGTTTGCACAATGCCTCATGAACAGTTTGACATCAGCTGATACCTCTCAATGACCACTGAATACCGTATTCAAGTTTTGGATCTCTTATTCGCTGTTGGCTTCAAAAATTGGCAACTACTCCATAGAAGTTGCCCAGGGCAGGCTGAGATTTTGGCAGCTGGGATGAGGGGTTTTGATTCAGAAAGCCATAGAAAGAGATAGTTTGTGTTTGAAAAAAAAAAAAAACACAGTAACACGTTTCTACTAAAATCATTGGCAGTGAATTACTAAGAACATCAACATTTTAACTGTCACCTCTAGGCTTCAGATTTAATCTAGGTGAACCTTCAGTTGAACTTTCCAGGATATTTTCTGAAATGCAGAACCTGGTTTTCTAGAATCAGTACAGCTGCAGCAAAAGAAAGAAGGGGAGTGACTAGTCTTGACAGAGGATTCAAAAATTACATAATTTTCCTACAGTGCTGTTAAATCTGTTCTCAGCAAACTTATATGATACACTATTAAAAAGAAAAAAACACATTTGTCTGAAGCTTTGTGTAGTTTGATCTTTCCATTGTTGTGACAACAGAAGAACTGCAAAACCAGAAGTCTCCTGAAAGCTTTCAGTAAACAAAACAGGCTAATGCCAATGCTCTTTTTGATGAATGAGTTAATCTATGCCTCTTAGAGTGGATTTCACACTAGGTTGGGCTGTGAAAGATAAGGTGCATTAGAGACCTCTGGAACCTGAACAGCTAGGAAAGGACAAGAAAAATCTCACGTTTCAGGAAAAAATTCTGTGGTATGTGAATGGAACTACAGAATGTATTCTTGCCAAATGCTGAAGCTCAACTTTAGATTACCCCTCTTTTTAAAAAGGGCCAGTTAAAAATAGTTGTAGATATTACTAATCACCATATTAGAGATTAAACATTCTAACCTTACCCAAAACATGTTTCTGGATATTTTATTCAAAGGAAAAAACTATTTTAAATACACATGGGCATGCTCAAAAATTGCAAATATTAATGTTTAAATATTTGAATTACATGCCCATCACCATTGTGGTATAGTAGTCATCTTGTTAGGCTTCTGGCCATCAATATATTACATTCATCTGTCACAACTGCAATCTTTATTTTGAATTCCTCTGTTTACTTTGTAGGGACAGAGGTTAATCCATAACAAGTATTTAATAAGAAAAGGTCTTTAGTATTAGCAAATGAGAGACTAATTTGTGATTTTTAAGAGTCTCGACTACTTAATACAGAAAGAGGAAGGAATATCTCCACTGAACTTCAGAGTAATAGTTGAATATAAATAAATAAATAAATGAACATACACTTCATATATGCACAAAGCCACCTCTCACTACAATATTTGCAATAGTTATCACCATTTCGTTTCATACGTCTGCATAACATTCAGATACACGCATACACACACGCTGTCTTGGGTGGAAAAGGTTAGGTAAGCTAATGGCACAAGGAGTGTGCTAGCAAAATATCCTGTTAGCCTCCTACAAATCAACATTGTTCTTCCCTGTTTTCTGAACTAAAGCTTTTATATAAAAAGTGCTGTCAAATGCAGAAGATAGAAAATAAAGGAATTCGTGGATCCATGTAATTCATGCTATTTACAAAGGCCTTAAAATTATTTGTAATGATAGGCCGACTTTCCCGAACAAAAATTGTAACTGATGCTGAAAACACTCCTTGCCTATGCTCATCTCCGACGTTACACTTTTTTAATTATTTGAGGCCAGTTCAGGGTACTTGGTAAAAGAATGGTCACACCAGTGATGAGGTATCTCTGTACTGTAGGCCTGTTATCTTTTGTGAGCATTTACCCACAAAAAGCATCTGAAAGAACAAAGCGGAAAACACAGTCCTTACTTTACTTGATAAAAAACATCTAGTCATGGAATAAAAGGGCACCAGAGAGCCCCAGCTAGCGCTGATTCAGACTGGTACATCCATGCAGTGTGTTGCCTCACCTCTAGGCTTTCACTGACCTAATATTACCAGTAATTAATGTCCCATAAGCAGAAAAAATAACTTAATTTCAAATGTGAGCCAATATTCATTTCAAATGAGTGAGAAACTCATTCACTGCTTTTACCTTGACAGCCTTGTCGAACCTTATACAGAAGTCCCTAAATATCTGGAAACATTCGTCCAACTTCATAGTTTCTTTGTCTTCACAGAAAAAGTCAATGAGAGCATTCCCCTCCTTCTGTAATTCTCGTTTCTGGTGTTCAAGCTCGTTTAGATGTCTTATAGCAAACTGCAGGAAAACATATATGGCGTGAACCAGATAGATAACTTAAAGACACAGCAGATCTTGTATATTTTAGGAACCAAAGAAATTCATGTTCCAGCCTAGGAGCTGTTACAGACCCCAGGACATTAAGACTTTGAGGGCAGAAGGAAGTTCTTGTCATTTCAGAAAAGTGAGTAAGGAAGGTCAGAGGAAATGAATCAATCAACATTTAAATTATAGTGACTGGGATACAAACTGGGAAGAAATTCAAAAGCCCTTGAACAGACTTAGAAGTTTAACTCTTAGATGAGTAAAATCAAATACTGTACTAGGATATGTGGGAGCCCCTTGAAAGCTCCACATGCCTTATCCTCCCATTTTTCTCTGCAACTTTCAACTAAGCTTAAATTGATTAATTCCTTTTCCCCCAAAATATGTGGATAAATTCATGGATATACATAACACAATCAACTCCTTCCTCAGGTTACCCTAGACCATGACAAAAAAAGGCTTTCATGCCAGACAGGTAAGGAAATGCTGGAAATATACATAATTTTTTAGAATATCTAGAAAACATCCCCAAGATGTAGTACTTTGAATCATAAGTACAGAGCTACACAGAGAGTGCTGGAGTAGATTGGTGAAAACAGATTCAAGAGGTAGAGAGTAAGGCTATGGTTAGACTTTCAGCAGCACAACTGCTTAAAACAATTTCAGCAATTGCCTCTCTGTCTCTCCCATATGCATCCCCAGCCATTGACTCCCATCCTTGCACTATCTCACATCAAAACACATCTGTCTGAAAATAACATGAGGAGAAGAGTTACTTTCCAGACAAATCTGTTCTCTAACACTGTCTAATCTACGGTCGCACAAATACTTTTGCCACCATAGCACAGGGGTGGGAGCAGGCCGTTGGAGGCACTGATCATCATTTAAGCCAACCCTGCTGCTAGAAAGTTACTTGTCAAATTACACCAGTAGAGTAGGAACAAACTTTTACCTGTTAGGCATTAAAAAAAAAAAAAAAAAAGGAGCTAGATTAAAGATAAACTGGACAACTGAAAAAGCACATGGAAAATTTGTTCCTCTCATATATTTCAGTAATTTATTTATGAGGATGAGATAATGAAAGTTGCCTTTTAATCAGCTTGGTTATCATCTGTAATTTAAAAACAAAAACCAGAAGTGTTTATGTAAGGTATGTATTTGTAAAATGATTTTTCTCCAACATTTCTTTTGGAATGTGGTCTAGACAAGGTTGTAGTGTTACATAAAACCAGCTATTAAATTAAAAGAACTCTCATACATGTTAAGACATGACACTAAAGAGTCTGGATGCAATGCATAAAAGCCAGTAATTCACAGTGAATGAGGACAGCTATTTCAAACTTAGCCCACCCCTCTCTCCATCAACTTCACATCTTCTGAAAAACTGCAGGGACTATTAACTACATCTGCAAGTTGAAAATCAGGGTAGGTTAAGTTCCAGATCAACACCTGCTTTCCTACTTTTAATAATTATCTGTACGTGAAACATAAAAATCATTTAATTGTAATGCATAGTTCTGCAGGCATCACCATGTACTCAGAAAATACTAAGAACTCCGCTTCAAAGTCAAGTGCTATACACATTCCTATCTATAAAAGTTGCTGGAATACTGAAAAAGAAAAGGAGAACCCACACAGAAGTAGTAATACAAAATAACACACTCAAAATAATATGCTCTGTGCTAAGGGTAAATTAGTGCAGAAAACAGTCCCTTAATGTACAAGCTTCTAACAATATCTCTTCAGTGACCCAGCAGTCAGGATTCATATGCATAGCACAGTCTCAGCTAAAACTGACGTGCTCCAGCCTAATATCACAGCTGCCCAAAATATAGTATCTGCATGTTAAGTACAAAACCAGAGACCAATCCAAATAATCTTGTATTTTAGCTACTGATCTTCATCAGTCATTTCACAGGCATTAAGCATGCTTGCCTAACAACCCTCAGGCAATGTACACTCAATATCCCTCCCTGTAAAAACACAGTCCTTCCAACACACTTACTCGACAAACAGCATGTAGTTGAAACACCTTTGTACACCTGAGAGGGTAGACATTAACACAATGCTTCAGTTTATTAACATGTCGACACATATTACATCTAGCTGAGGAATGCTCCTGTATTCAGGTGACAGTAACACATTAGCACTGACATCCTACAAACCTGAAGAAAGTTTTCCAACTGGTGAAAGAGTTTGGCGTCTCGACGAATACTGTCTTTAACAGATCTTGCCTTGAAAGACAGTGAGTGGAGTTCGGCTTCTATATTATCAATGGATAACCTGAAAAATAGCATATACAGAGAATGCTTATTGAGAGGAAGGAGTTGCCCACAGGTTAGCCACAATATGCTTCAGAAATGGATGTTTCACATGAGGTGCGAGCTGGCTATCAAACAAGACCTGCCTGCTCAGGAAATCTTTCCAGAGTAGAAACTGGAAGTTAGCAGAGAGATAAGCATATTTCTCCTTATTTGCAACTTGAAAAGATTCCCACGGGGTGCGGTTTCACAATTAACTCAAGCCAGTCCTACTCAGCCTTACCACCAAAAAGGGCGATGCCGCCCTGTCTCTGACCGGGTGTTCCTTTTCTTTTCCTCAGTGCCTGTGCTAGCATCCATTTTCTAAATGTCAGCTATATCTGGGAACTGAAAAGCCAGCAAAAGGAAAAAACAATGTGCTTCCAAATGGATCATTTGCTTGATCCAGCTCAAGTACAAGAGCTAGCAAAAAAGGGAGTCAGAAGAGCTAGACAGCTAGGACTGCCCATTTCAGCAGTAGCATTTGGCACTGCAAAACTTTGCACATTATGTTCTTCTAAGCAATCACAGCAATGCAGGCCACCCAGTCTCAACCCTGAAGATTTAACATTTCATTCTTCTACTACATATCAGCAGCAGAGCTCCTGTTTTTAGGCAGAGACAACTCAGCAGACATAAGACCACAGCAAATAGCTCTGATCTGAGGGAGTCAAAGCTTTATCCCGGTAGACCCACGTTCCATGTGACAGGAGCTCCCACTCTCACCTCTCAGTCACCTGGAAGGTAAATGCTTCAATTCAGATGGCATTTCCTTCACAAGAAAGACTGATCTTTGCCTAGGAATTGAAGTATTACAGTCTCCAAAATGGTAAAAATTCACAACTGTACACACTCTCCTACCTAAGAGTATTTCACCAGTAGCATGACTTTAAAAGAGTAAAGCAGACCGATTGAAGCAGAATTTGCAGCAGACCGACTGAAGCGCCTATGGCCGAGGATGGTGGCAGCATGTACGTTTGTCAGGGAACACACAAATGAATGTGTGTGCTGTTCTTTGTCTGCTTACTTCATCTCTAGAAGTTAACTCCCTGTTCTGGGCAGATCATAGATATTTTGGCAAATGAGGAAAGCAGCAGATGCTATAAGCTATATTTTTCTGCCTGTTAAGGAGGAGGAGGATGGGCTACAAGAAAAGAAGGTAAGGTGATAAACATAAAGAGCACAACAGTAGTTGTTTTAACATGCTCTAACCGGAAAAATTTATGAGCAACTTGCACATGACAGTTTTCTCTAATAAAGATCTTCCTCATGCCCAACAAGACGACAGGTATTTCATTTTGTTTCATTTTTCCCTTCAACAATGCTTACAAGGTTATGTTGTAAACTTAGTAGGCATAGAAAACAGTCTCTTTCCTACAAAATTTCAAAGTATAGAGTACACTGCCCATATAGATTTCAGCCTGAATTACAGCAGATTTTCAGTGTTAATAAATGTGATCAAAGAAGAAAGTGGATAGAAAAAACATCACAAGACTACGAATCCCCCTGCCTGTTCCCCTGCTGCTTGCTAGGGAACTTGGATGCTGAGGGAAGCTGCGTTCCCCAGCAGGCCATGAGACAGACTGCCAAGAAGGTGTGTAGGTTGGATGGCAGAGAGCCACACAGGTGGTCCATCAAAAATGTTCTGATCAACTCTATGGCCACTCCTTCCCTTGGAAGATTTCACAGTACTTTGCAGACATTACTTAATCCTGCATCAGATCTAAGAGATTGGATCCATTTTATAGCACGGAAAAGAATGTAAATAGATTGCCCAAAGCTCAAGAGCCAGGAAGTAGCAGAACTGGGATTTAGAACTACAGATCGCTAGCTTCCAGTTCTGCGCTTGAGATTGCACCACCTCACAAGACCAAGTACAGTTATCAAGGTATGAACCTGGTTCTGTTTAAAATTATGCAACTGGAGACCTTAAGATGAAAACAACACAGAACCCCAAATCCCTCAGATCTTCCATTTGGCTGAATAAACCTACCAGAGCTGTATTCCTTCACAGGACACATAAGGGCTCAGATCTGTGACAAGTTCACCTGACACAGAACGTTGAAATTCACTATTTTGAATGGCTCATTATATAACATCCAGAACAGAGGAGCACTATGAGTGAGGTGCTCTCCAATACAGAAACAGAGAAGCAAGCCAAATATCAAGAAACATTTAACAGAGCCTAGGTCAGTACTTGTATCTGGTACCAGGTTTGGGAAAAGTATTGTAGCCAGCTCAGAGATAGCTGAAAATTGTTTTAAGGAAAACCAGTAACATGCTTTTAGTATGACCTCTTAAAAGTAACATATATGCTCATCTAGTTGGCAGAAGCAAAACTACAAAAAACCTATGGAGATCATTTCATAAAAAACCCCATACCTGAAGGCACATTGCAGGCATACTTCTGCTAACAAATGGAAATGAAGCCCTCAGAGCTACAGTAAACATTCGTAATGTTTCAGTTTTCGTGCCAAGACTTCTGTGAATGAGCTACATAGCTTCACACATAAGAAATTTCCAAGCCATAGTCTAACGCTAAGTTCTCAGTTTTCCTGCCTTACCTGGCAGCATCATGAACATCCTTAATTTTTTCTGAAAAGTTGAGAAGAGCAGCATCTTTCTTTTGGGCTTCCTGAAACAAACAGGAAAAAAAGAAAAAACAAGACAAACACAATCCATTAGGTACTTTACCATGGTAATGGAATGTTAAGTCAAGCAGTTCTAAAGCTTTTGAGAGGGCACTCACAAGTTTCTCTCTTACACTGTTTTTCTTTCAGTTCAATCCTGACAATTGAGAGGAGGCATCCCCCTCCCCCCCCTTAAAGAAAGGCAGGGACCAGAACTAGAAACTTTAAACAACAGCTTTCATTTTGCAGTGCACAACAGCAGCCACTTCTGCCAGTGAACACAAGCCACATGTATTCATAGGGAATGTTAGGGAAAG